GATTTGTTAAAAAAAAAACATTTAAAGTACAATCGGACGAGTAAGACGAAAATCTTTTAAAAACAGTCTGAAAAAGTTCTAAAATTTTTCCAAAATTTTTAATTAAAATAATTATTTTTCTGACAGATATTTAAAAGTTCTTGGAAATGAAACTTCTATAAAACAGTTATTTATAAGTTTTTCGTAGAAAAATTTCCATTCAACTTTTTAAATAAAAGTTCTTTAATAACAACTAAACAGAAACTCTTATCATAAATTTTAGTTATTTTAAATGCAAAGGAATTTTTATTAAAAATTAAAGTTATATCGGCTATTAAACATTTTGAAAAAATGCAAAAACTCTTTTTTTGCATTAGAAACATTTAATATTATTATTTTGTTCTTTTTTTAGCCACTTACAGCTGATGGACTTTCATAAAGAGTAAAAATCTTGGTGAAACCAAAATTAAAAGCGTTTCAATGAATAAAATATCGAAAGCATTAAGCATATGTTTTTATTATCTTATACTTATATTTATACTTTAAACAACATTGACTTAATCCTTTTTTTTAGGGTTAGAATGAGTGTGTAATTTGAAATGAAATTTTTTGTTGTGTTTTGTGGCTAATTGGTTTATTTATTCTATTTTAAAGTCATTTTGAAGTGAGCAGTTTCAGTTTGATTCATACCACGGGGCGGAAGTGATATCCGTAGTGATAGGTTGGAAAGCTTGTAAGGTACGAAGTTGGGATGGTTTTGCACATCCCCAAATTTGGATTGCATATGCCCTAATAGGCCTTAATAGGGATTTATATGTGATGATTTTAGTATGGAAAGGTAATTTTGATTTGAGGACTAAACGTAGTAAATGGAGTCTGCTGTTGAGAATTTTCCTTTTAGATTTAATGTGAGAGCCCCAAGTTAATCGTTTGTCGAGTGTGACAGCAATATATTTGACTTCCGAGGATATTGGGATAAGTATTCCTTGGAATTGGGGAGGGGGTGGAACAGATTTTTTTAGTGTGAAGGGAACGTACACAGATTTTTCTGGATTAATTTTAATTCTCCAATTAGTTGACCAGAAATCAATTAGATTTAAGTGCGTTTGAAGGAAATTGGAAGTAACTTCAGTATCATTTCCTGGGGAGAGTATTGCAGTGTTATCTGCATAAGTGGCCATAATAGTATTTAGTGTGTTTTGGAATTGTCAGCCTTTAAAACATTAAATAGATCAGAGGAGAGGTCACTGCCCTGGGGCATTCCTGCTTCAATTTGGTGGTATGATGAAAAGGAATTACCATATCTGATTCTATAACTCCTATATTCTAAATAAGAACGAATTATTAAGTAATACAGGGCAGGTAGAAAAATCCTTTTTATACAAATATACTTGTTCGTCTTGCTCTACTTAAATGCTTTGCCACCAAAAAATCATTTTGGTACAAATTGTGACTTATTCCTTTTCTCGAATAAGCGATTCGCATATTAGGTAAGTAATTACAATGTTGTAGAAGAGAGACGGAGATTGTTTGATAGTTAAATTGATAAGACTAAAATAAACGTTCAAACTAGTTCTATCTCTTTGGCACATATTATGTATCTATCTTTGTAGCATAATGTAGCTTTCGTGTGCAGTCCATTTCATAAAAGGTCCACGATTCAAACTAGTGTAGTTTTAGTTAGTAGTGGGCGGGTAACACATTGACGTTTGTTGTTTTGTCGGCAAACTTTTTTCATTCAAAAACCAGGGTGTCCCAGCCGGCAATGATGTGTTATTCACATTGTGATGACAACGGAATGTGTGTATATGTGTGTGTGTCGAGGGTCGTCGAGGAGGTGTCATCTTATTATAAGCTATTTATCGCGGATCAACGCCTTTTTCACACACAACACAATATGTTTACAGGTTTACATCTTGAAAAATTATTGTAACAAAAACCTCGTACGCGAACATAATATTATATATATTTTTGTATATGTATAATAATAATATAACAACAACATTTTTGCGCCCCTTCGTCTGTTATGTACACGGTGACGGTGGCGCCGTCGCGTCGCCAAAACGGTACAAACGGATTTTTCTCTCTTATTCGCCCGCTGAGATCTTCTCAACGCGCACAATGTAGTATCACGTCGGCGGCATTCACCAATCGGCACCTCCAACGATGCATTTTTAAAAAATACATTTATAGATTTTTATTTGTATTATTATTATCACAACCCGCCATCGATATTTTGCCATTATGTTACTGACAACAAACTTCCGGCGTGGTAGCTCTTATTCGTCGCCTTCGACTGCCGTAAAATGTATGCAAGAATGGACATAAGACACATACATTTTATGAGGTCGATTGAGATAACGTCCTGCTCGACCTAGAAGGAAAAGGCTAGGGAAATTCCACTTCTGAACTCTTTCAGTAGTTTTTAATTTTTACCGATATTCCGTGGGAGCTTTTAGAGTTTTTTTTAACGTTCTGAACTTTCCCAGCCCCCCTCTAAGTTGCGCCGGCGAACCTAGTGACAGAATTTATATATTTAGACCCCATCAGTCATGGAAACATAGAGGTAAACATCTTACTTATTTCTTTTGTCAACTATAGCCTATAGTCCATGTAGGGCTTATACTGCTTCCATCATGCTATTCCATTCATCTCTTGCCTTCCAGTCTCGTACCACTTTGCCTCGAGTGATCTCTGAGCATTTTCCCGTTTATTTTCCCAACCATTATATAAATATAAATACATTTGGTATAATAGTCACTTTTCAAATATCAGAGGGGTAACTTAAATACATTTTGTTTGCAATAATCAATAAATAACTTACTTTAAAAATTATATTTGTCGGAACATTTAACACGGACATTATACTATGGAAGTTTTTTTTGATATACTTCACTCCAATTACATCTTAGTACGAGTTAGTTGGTAATTCGCATTAACTGGAAAATCGAATTATTGAATTAAATATTCAATTCGCACTAAATTCAAGCACATAAAAAGGGTTTCTATGAGATAATTTTAATGTAACAATTCCAGATCAACTCGTTATTTAATTATTTTTTTTTTATATTCAATATTATAATTGGTTAATTTAATTCCGGGATTAAAAAAAAACACGGAAACTGAGATCTAATGCGCGTTAATTAAATTCGTATTAACGGCTAAGCCAACTTAACTCATTTGCGTTTATTAATTCAACAAAGATAAACTATCATGTATGTATATTTACGTATGCATTTTTAGACGTTAATTTTAACTAATATCATTATATTTTAATTAATATTATAATTTTTATTAGCCACTAAGTATGTGTACAACTGTTGTTAGTTAAGTATGTGCTAATATTATCCATATATATTATATTTTTATTTTTATGGCTTACGGTTAGGACTTAATTTAGGGCTAATTTAACTTAAAGCTTGTTATATTACAGGGGTGGCCACAACGAGGCTCGCGAGCCGCATGCGGCTCTTGAAACCAAGGTTAGAGTAAAATTAATAAATTTTCATTTCTTCATTTTATAAACATATCTTAATAATGTGGCTAGCTTTGAATTAGCTTTATAAATTTGCGGCTCCCAAAATTAAGGTTAGTGGCCACCCCTGTTATATTAGATAATGCCAATTTGTATTTAAAACGTTATGCGTTCATTATTTACCAGCTTCAGTTATATCAACTATATAACTACGGCTGTATCAACCCATTCAACAATATTTCACGCATAATTCATTCATAGCGAGTTCAATGCTTTGTTGTCGGCTTAATCACTTTTTAGTTAAATCCAACAACAATACACTATTATATCAGGGTGATATCATCAGCACGACCGCTTAGTAATCTTTATCGTCCGCAAAAACAATTTTACAAATTATACGTAGGTTATTCCTTCTTAATCAATAGCAAGTTATCTTAGGTTAGGTTAGGTATTATTATCATTTCTGAAGATAGATAATTTTAAATATGATAGACAAATTTCGTTACAGAGCGTTCTAATCAATATGAAATAACCTGAGTTATTAAAAAGATCACTCCAAATGGATCATCTGATATCATGTGTTAATTTTGATAAGGTTGTTTAAGCATGTCGAGAACCGTAATTTTTAAATTGTGTACTTAAATTCTTTTCGCGACATTATTATTATATGATTCATGTTGTGTTAACTTCGATTGGCGGTGTGTTTCAGACAGTAATTGTTAGTGAAATTATGCCCAATCGCGATGTCTAATCAACGGCGTTTAGACTATTATAATATATCATTGACATAAGTCATTGCATGATCATTGCAAGATCATTGCATGTAACAAAACGGTGTCATTACATTACATATATCTACTTTTTATCGATAAGATGTTGTATAGTGATAACCGTTGATAAAACAATATTGATAATTATTAATTTTTCGACTATTCAGTTTTTGGTTTTCTTATTCTTCGAGTAATAGTAACTTTTAAAAAAGTTCGAATGCAATTTCATTTTGATTAGGTATACTAATGGTAATCAAGTATTACTTGTTTTCCTAGTAAAGGTAGAAGTGTTTTTCTTTGGTTAAACATGTTTTTTTCTAAATTTTTGCAACTTTTTAAAAGTTTACACATGTTTACAGAAGTATGAAATATAAGAACACATGTACATAAAATAATGCTTAAATTGTTATTATTTTAAATGTAATCAATAAATAAAATTGATTCAAAATTAGCCACACAATATATTGTATAGTAAGATATTATCTTAAACATGTCAATATAATTTATCGTTACAAGCAATTCTTCTAACGCTGCATTAAAATATTGAATGTTTTATGCTTACATTATCACCTTTAAAATTTGTTCAAATTTGAGTTATAGCTTAAATGCGTTTTTTTCTTCAAAATTGACCCACTTTAACGGGTCATTCGCAAATCATATTATAAACATTGTTTTGACTGTAAATGAAAAATAAAAAAAATCAACATATCAATTAAAAATTACCACTTTGTTTATTAAAAAGTATTAATAACAATAATAGAGTTTTAATATCATCTAGGAATTTCTGAACAATAATCATAAATTAACTTTTTTCTTTTTTAAAATTAATTAATAGCAGACAATTATAACAATAGAATGTGCGTTTCTATCGACACAACATAAATAATAATAATAATAATAATAATATAAAAACTAATATGTACAATACATATTCTTAAACAACAATAATAATAATGTACAATGTACGATACGTACGCATAATATTTCATCAACCCGCGACGTTCGCGGGATGTACCGTATATATTAATTATATATATAAAGTTACAAATTGACTGGAATGGGAATTCGTGGGAGAAAAGAGGATTTTCGGGAGAGAGGGGCTTGTCAATTTACATGACCGTAGTGTGGGGCCTGCGCCGCCGTCTTCTGTGCTTGGTACCACGGGTGCTATGCCTTAGGCACGGCTCAGGTCTTGTCGAACCCAGTGTTGGTTTCTCGGTTGTGGTAAGATAGGAAGACGACCTACGTCGCTGGCGGTGTTCAATTTTCACGGGCGACAACGTCTCCTTGATTTTATTGCTGATATCTTCCCATTCTTTTAGGAGCTTGTAGTATTTGATCAACACACCCCAGTCTTGGATCTGCATGCTCGTGAGATCAGGATGGTGGTTCCATTTCGAACCGCTGAAGGTCACTTCCGGGGGGTTTTTCAAGACGATCCGATGGCGCCACGGCCTGATATTCACTAGAGCGGCCTCCACCTCGCATAATACCTGCACAACATAAAAACAAAAATTAAATGTGGCCAAGCATAAGCGCTAAGTTTAACGTTCACACACATTGTAATGATTATCGTTTGTGTCTACTCCAGATGTTTTGGTTATGAGTCTGGCCAATAAAATTATAGTTTGGCTTTCAAGGTTAGGTTAATACTTAGTTGATATTTGTAACAACACGGATCAATCGGCTTGGCAATACTGACGAAAGAGCAGAATGTATACACTGCCAGTATTCAATCGAAAACTCGATATAGTAAACCGCCCGCTTCCCAGTTGCCGGTTGTATCATAATAATAAATTATATACACAACACATATAATTAATCTGTACTATTTTAGTCAACTGCCTTGTTCAGTGGGATTTTAGCGTATGAAACAATGTGGTCAGACAGCTTCGGACATTATGTAGGTACGTGTAATATTTTCGGCATTAGTCACTGTTTGGTGTTATAAAAATATTTTTTTTAACTCATTTTTACTGCCGGCAGGCTACTAATGTTTAACGGATCGGAATACAATTAATTTAGTTTTGTTAGCTTGGACAAAAAGTACAATGAATCTTTTATTATTTAGTTCATATATAGCTTTTAAATTAAGTAAACACTTGTTGATTTCAAAAACATATATATATATATATATATTACCTATTACACACAACCTACTCTTATTATCATTTTTTTTTTTTTGGAAGGCATTATAAATTATAAATTACATATTAAAAACATTGTTTCGCTCTCCTAGGTCAATTTTGAAGTAACTTTTTTCTTTATGTTTCGATACTTGTACTATGTGCCAACAAACGTCACTATTCGACCAGGTTGAGCGCAGTAATAAAGTAAACAAGAGTTTGTATTTTATTATGAGTACACGTTTAAATGTTTTGTGTATATTTTTTTTGTCTGTGATGTGAATATAATATTAAAGTTTTCATTGATTTCATAATAATTTAGAATAGTTTCAGGTATAGGATAAGTGATTATGACAGTATCCAGAATGAACTTTTTAAAAGAGATACAGGTTTAACTGATGATTTGTAAAAAATCTATATTTGGATACATAGATTTTAGGGGTGACTAACTCCGACGCCCCCCTTCACCGACTTCGCCAAATTCTTTTATTATTAAACTTTATCTGCACGGTGTAAGATTTACTTTGGTTTTCAATACAATCTTTATAGATGTTTATACTTTCGAGGGACGTATTTTGTAGTCGATTATTAGATTGGATTGGAGCTTAGAAGTCCGGATCACAAATTATGAATGCGATGGAAAACCGCACGTTATACAGATGTCGCTGGCAATATGTACAGAAGGGGAAGGGGAGAACATCAGCGAGAGTAACACACGCTGGGACGGATATTCGATCAACTACAAAGGTCGGTAAAATTTGTTGTCGCTTCAACGGCGGTCGCTCGGCTGTTTCAACTGGGAAAAATAATAGTATAATAATAATAATTTATGATTGTCTCTTCATCCGTGTCGTCGGGGCAAAGAAAAAAAAAACATGTTGTACACGTACGGACGTATTTCGGTGCTTTTATACAATAATTTTTCTACTTGAATAAGATAAAAACTGCCCAGCTATGTACATTGATTGGTTACTAGCGGCATCCCGCCGGGCCTCGTCAATGGAGACCGCACAAACATTCACGCCTTTATTATTATAGTGATTTATTCCGGGACGTTTGTGCGAAACATCTGCTTTTTTCCGTTCTTTATACGCATTTCAGTACCTACAGTATAGCGGCTTGCACGCAAACACACACGCACAAAGTCGTCCAACACCTCAAAGCATGTGGCGCCTGCCGTAGGGGTGGTGGCGCAGAGAGGACCACTATCGGCCTGTACTAAGTACATAATAAAATATACCGGGGCACGCATCGATCCTGACCGTGATTTGTGAGACTTTTAATTAAACCGCTCGATAAACGTGCCGTATCCAGATGGATCAGCTGATATTATTATGTTATTATAGGTCGGCATGAGGAGTATAGTAGGTATATAATAATAACATTAGCAGCCGGGTCTCCCACCGTACAAAATAGGTACGTTGTAATATAATAATAACGATGATAATAATATACGGTTGTTAGACACGGTCGTAGTGTGTGGGTGTCGACCGTGTAATGTGTACGGTCATTCGTAGACGATTAAGTGACTGAGGTCGCGTGCGCTACCGGGCTGGGCGGTATATGGACCGTTTAATTCGACGTGAAATCGGTTTTCCACGTGACGTCGGGTTGTTTGATTATTTTATAATATGCTGTTGTTGTTTGGTTGTATACTCACTAGCTACCGTATTGGTGAAAGATATTTTGCACTGCGGTATAGATGTGTTGAATTAAAGGCATAACAGGGTTGTTGCAAGACGCCGTTTACAGAAAAAAAAAATCGTAAAAGAAAACTGAATATTGTAAAAATGAGAAATCCGAGACGGCTTTTAAGCTAAGCTGGCGAGAACTTAACGTCTTAATATTGAACTATATTTTCGGCGACAATGCGCTGCGTACACTGACTACACAATACAGTCTTAGCTGTTCATGATAATTACATAGTACGTTTATCGAATTTCGGTTCCGTTTTTCATTCGGGTGCTGCAATATATGTTTTTACTATCTACTGTAGTAAAAAAAAAAAACCTTATCGGTTTAATCTGTTCGTTTAGTATTCGTATATTTAATGACCGAGAGTATAATTTTTATGACCATTTATTACAATACTATAATTTATAATTGTACGTTATACAGAACATGACCAAAATATTACCGAACTTAAACACGGCTTTCGTCGACGCTAAAAGCTGAGTAGTTATAAAATGTAGTTTATTTTTATATATGCGCTTACCAAGCATTTGGCGCAATAGAAATGTAGATATATATTATGCATAATATAATACACGGGTTTAGTGTATGACGGAATGCGAGACGCTTAATATTCTGTGTAAAGTTGAGAAAATATTAATTTAATTAGGTAAGTATTTTTTTTTTTTTTAAGTATGTGTATTATATTTCTGGATGATCTTTATCGATAAAAAAAACCGTAGTGTTTGAGTATTTTAGGAACTTGTCACTTAGTTTCACAATTCTCACAAAATTGTAAAAGAAAGAAAGTACAGAATATATATATATTTTTTTTTTGAACTTTGCTCTCCAATAGTTTACAAAAATTAGTCTGACCTAGTTCATATTCTTGAAAAGAAATCGCTATACATAAAAACTCAAAAGCTTAGGGGCTCTTAATTACGTTTGTCACGTGGGCTTTTCTCTTTATTTCTTAGATTTTCCCCACGTGAAGCTTTTACTGTAGCGACCCTGCGTGAATATCATATAATATCAATTACATAGAAATTCGTACTAGAGATTGACATTAATTATCGACCACCTCATTTCTTGCGTTTATAACGTAGATTGCTATCTTAAATATGACTACCCAAAAAAATGTATTTATTTTTACAAATATAACATTTTTTATACTTGTACTGTTATCAAAACAATTTGCAAATAAAGCCATATATTTACTTTATATAACATGTTTAATACCTAGTTGAATTTTTTAGTCGATGTACGTTAAAACATTAAATGAGAAATGAAATTAAAAAATACTCTTTTCCCATAGATGGCTGTATCGTTATTAACTTTTATGGTTTAATAGAGTTTCATAAAAACGAGTATAGGTAAATGAATAAATTAAAAACCATATTTATTACCAAATGAGGAATATTATACTACCTATTTACAATTACAATGATATCAGTGGCTATAGTAGGGGTCTTACCATAATAATAATATAATGTATGTGTATTGTACATATTTGTGTGTGTGTGTTTGTTTATTATGGTAGATGCGTAAGTATTCGACACTCGCTGCCCGCTGGCGTCACCAGTGATACGGAGATGAGCTAATCGAGAATCTATACATGGCCGTTGTGTTCACACCTAACACCTTCGGCCTAGCATAATATGAAACCGTAAGCGTGATTGACAAGTCCAAGGGACATAATAATAGCAAAAATAATTTTTCGAGGACCGTCGTTTGTGCATATATGGACCGATTCCTTTCATCAGACAACATCATTAAAACTGACAAGATGCGCGTTAAATCGGATGTATACAAATCGCGGACCTCGTATTATAGACCTTAACGGCCTTATTTTCTCCATCCCCTTCTGTACCTGAGATACGTTCTCGCGGGGACGCGTCACCGAACCCGTCCGGCGCACACAATCGGCCGGTCGGATCTCTTTGGACTTGACCGCCAAGGACTCCCGGTCGTCTTGCAAACAGTAACACAACAGCTCATAATGTATAAATATATATACACAAGTCCTGGACGTGCGAGATGATCTTCTCATCTTGTCTATTGTGCTGCTTTGTACGTATACATGGACACTCGCACTATCTCTTTTACACACACACCACACTAATCAAACATTTTCGTTTTCTTTTTCCCGTTTTTTTTTTTTTGTAAACTGCCCGAACGGTCTCTTACCTGATAAATCGAACAAACGGAAGCCTCTCTCTCTCACTCGCTCTCTATCTCTCTATCTTATCGGCCGACCAACAATATCATTGTGCCAGAACACGTGTTCGACCGGGAGTCGACGTTGTCACAACGGGTGGTTACAAGAACACATATTACATATATGTATATATTTATATTATATAAAGGTGTGTGAGTGTGTGTGTGTGTACCTATATAATATATATATTATATTATGTACGCGCGCCCCCAATAATATTATTCTTTGATGAAAACGCGGTCCGTCCGGCCTGCAGTCATCGCCAGCGCAAGGGGTGGCGGTGGCGGCGATCGCCACACCACCGCCGTCACTACCACCACCGGGTGCAACGTAGGAGGTCCTCTAGCAAGAGAGCTGGTTGTCGTCCGGGTTAGAGTATAATATGTATAATAATAATAATAATATAACATATATTATATTATATATCTTATTATTTAATGTTCGTACATAAGTATATAATATAATGTGCACCTTGATTTTGCGTTGCGTGCCCCGAGGTCTTTGACGACTTTATTGTATGCGGACGCGACCATCCGTTTACGACAACAGCGACGGAATTTCAAATCACCAAAAAGACTATAATATGTACATATACGTATAAATATCTGTTCGCCCAATGTGTGTTTAGTACTTATTGTTCGCCAAAAGCCACCCTCGCTTTACGGTCGTCCCACCAATATGTTATCCGTACTATATTGGCCGGCGACTCTTTGACAGTTTTTGTGTGTCAATACTAAATACTAAATGTAACAGATGTAAGGACGTATCGTTAAACTAAGTAAGAGGTAAAAAAAAAACTAAACTACCCCCCCCCCCTTATAATGTCATTAATGTCTGAGAAAAAGAAAGTTTACGGCGCAGCACAATATAATATTATAAAGTAGGTATTTTTGTTAACAAAAAAAAAAATTGCATGTTGGTTTAATGCAAAACAAATCATCTGTTATAACACCGAACTTCGTAAATAGTCGAATGTTACTGACCTTACCCATTCCAAAATCGCATGGTAAAAATACTATATAGCTTATTATGCAATATAATATGTACCCTACGTACGTTTTTATTACAATCGTTTTACATTTAGATGAAAATATGTTATCAATCAAATATCATTATTAAGTAGTATTTAGCATTGTAAATGTTAACTCACGGCGATCAGGTCTTTGCACAAATCGTCTATTACTAGTCTTCTCGCTGTATAGTTAAACGAGACGTGGGTTTCGCTGAATTGTCGCATTTGGTTTAACGTTACAGAGTAGTTGTGTAACGAATCCCTCAACTCGGATAGCATAATAAACACCTAAAAAAAAAAAAAAAAAATAATAAAAAATAACCGTCGGTATAACGTGTTGTATACATACATAGGTAATAATAATTTATTGACTTTGCCTACAACAACAATTAAAGAATTTGAAACTCATCAACTTCTTTGGGTCAGTGGGCCGGCGTGGACAAATATTTTGTTGACATTTGGTCGTTACGAAAATGATAATTATAACAGTTAACTTTTTTTTCTTTTTTGTACATAATAATTAATCAAAAATAATAAATGTTACACGCGCGAACGATATAATATATACTCACAAAAATAACATAATACACATATTGTCCACTCTGACAACCGTTTTGATGATCGTCAAACTGACCCGATGAAACATATTAATGACGTGTTTAATAATCGTATTATACACGTCTAAACTGATGTTATAAGATTATGTTATGTATATGAATGTTTCGTGGGTCGTTCGATAACAAATAACAACAATATCATATTATGTTAATACACAATACACACATAAGTAGACTTATTGTGACTTGAGGGCACTTAAAACTCGGAACGCGGTATATTAATTCATTCATGTATTTTTTAATCATATAATAATATATTTATCTAGATAATAGTGTTGTGTATATTATTTGATTAAACACAATATTATCGAAAATGGTTAATTGTTTTAAATGGCTGGTAAACATTTTATATAAGATAAAGAGTAACGTACAAAACTAATATTTCAATACAGTCAAATGTGTTCTCCGTCGTCACTATAATATTATTACACACGGCCTTGCCTTGCCTGTAATTATTGTCTACCGGAACAACTTGTGTTTACAATAATATAATTAGCAACCTATTTATTGATTTTTTTTTTCACTCTTGTATATTTTGTGACCGACGATCGGTTAAGCCTAGACAAACGAGCATAACTTTGCATATAGAGTAAATACATATTGTTGTTTTACCTTGCTGTTCATGTCAAGATTACTGACGTAACTTCTTTTCCACTCTTTACTTTCGGACGGCAACCAGTCAAAGTCGTAAGCCGACTTCATGTTGGTGTTCTTAGCCTGTAAACACACGATTGCAATTTGTAATTATTTATCATACATAATATCTCTATGTTGCACATTGTGTACACTACGCACACCACGGTAAACTATCCTGGTCAGAGTATTTTCGCATCTCTCTAATCCGAGCCATAAGAATAGAGTAATTTTTTTAAGCAACGTCGTTTGTAATGTTATATATAATATGTTACGGTCCAAGTGGGGTCAATTACACCACTGGCAGGGCTAAGTGTTGTACAAATAGACCCGGCATTATATACATTGGCTAGTACCAAAAGTGCCACGTGGACAAAATACACGGTATTATGTTTGTTTGTTACGATTGATTGATTAAAATTGTAATTTATAATAGTAGTCGGGTACATAATTAATTAGAAACAAATAAAACCATAATTAATTATGAAAATACTTAAGTAAAAAAATTGAAATATCACTAGTTTATTAATTTTTACACGAGTTACCAATACGACATGTTTAGAATTGCTTAAAATACCGACCGCCTTACCTTTGCATCTCTTTGTTTCACATTTTTGGAAACAAACGCAAAGGTCATATCCATGGCCTCCTAATTTTATAATATGAAAAAAGATTATCGACTTTTCTTGCCGATAACTGAATATCGGGTACTTCATAAACAATAACTAACCGTAACATATATAAATATATACATATACATTCAATTAAAATTTGTATGGTGTATATTACTGACGCAAGACTGGCATACTCGCGAATATCAGATAAAACGTATATTAATTGATTAAATTGTATATTTGTATTATTATATTTTAAGTATAATATATGTCTGTATAATCGTTTTAAATAATTCCCATGGAACATCGTCCAAACCAGATTCGAGATAATGATAATTTATATTAGTAAAAAAAAAAAAATTGTAAAACAACATACAACAATATTATATTGTATTAACATAACGGCGGTCCCTTACTAATGTGTCAGCACAAGCCGTTAAATATGGATAACACACGTTGACCTACCCTGACCTCGACAACAATTACAAATATATGTTCACGGATAGATGGGAAATTTAAATTAGATTTTATTATCTTGATAAACAAAATAGTCACGGATGGTCTATTCGCGGTCGTTTGATATACATATTACATACTTATATAATACAATATAATCAAACTAAATAAACGTACTATAGCTGTATATCTATATATTGTATAGGTATTGATTTTAAAATGATATTAGCGCTTAGACGTGAGCTATTACAGCAGACCTTGCGAAAAATATGATTTCCTAATTACCGACTGATGAGATAATGTAATATCATCTGAAAATCTGCTTTGACGCCACAGATTAACATGTTTGTAGTACTCACGTCCGAATAGAGTAGCGCTATATAACTATTGTTGGCCTGGAAGTTCTTTCTTGCCTTTAACAGTTGCGTTCGCACCCTGTCAAAAATGATAAAGTTGTCGTCCTTCTGACCCGGTATCGCCGACGAGGTACTGATGTCGTTGTCAACCTCGTTGTCGAGTATCTAATGGAAAAGTATGACAATGAAAATACATTCACATGACAAATTATTGCCCGCACAAAGTCTATATTAGCTCACCGAAAGTTCACCGCACTGTTTAGACACGCTGGTTAGATAGGAATTCGTTTCTTCTGCGATGACTTGAGTCGCAATACAAATAAGTAGCAATAACGGTGTGATTGTATCAAGTATTCGACCTGTTATACGACTGGCTGAAAAACAAAATAATACAATATAGTATTAACGATATAGGTGGCGTTTGTGTTATTCAATTTAGGTATAGTGTACAAAGAAGAGATGCCCGGAAATATGGCATCCGTCTAACACAACCTCGTGGGAGATTCGTCCGAAGGGGTGGTCTCCCTCGCATCCCCTTAAAAATGGGAATCCCAGTTGATCTATAGTACACCCGGTGTTATAAGGTAGAGGTGAACGTAAAAAAGGTTATCATAAGATTATATACCAGATTATGAGATAAAAACATAATGGTAGTATTTTAATGGTAGCTCTGTTTCCTATACAAAAAAAAAGTGCTTACAGTATAATGCCCTTTGTTACTTTCAATAATAAATATGTGATTCTGTTGTGAAAAAAAATATTCGATCATCAACTCTTTCGCATAATTGTCGGCGATTAATGCTTGTGTGATTATTTAACCGACATCGGTGATAAAAATGGCAGGATGATAGCACTGGGAAAACTTTTGCTAGCCGACCCCGACGATAGGTTGTTGACCGGTGTACAAGTCAGAATGATCGTTTATCTTATAACGCGCAAAGAATTCAATAGGACTTAAGTGTCCAAGGAATTTACACACTATACCTATACCTACACATATACCTATACCTATACACATTATACAAAATGTTGAAAAAATAATATGTATACAACAAACAGAGATTTATCAGTGGCGGTGGTCATTTAAGATGTGTGTTAACGCCCAAAGGGGACAAAAACGCGTACTTATATGAATATATAATATATATTCTAACAACCAAATAATATTTCATTAATAATAAAATTATGTTTGGTCGAATAATTGATGGCAGATTATCTGCGGAGAATTAAGAAAAATACCACACATAAATAAAGTCACATTGATGATCGCCACTGTCTTTTTTTACATGAATATTTTTTTAGATGGTGGTCAATCCAAAATTTGCGTGGAATCGTGACATCTTGACCATAGTATAAGATAATAGAATAGTAGAAGTGAGGGGAGGGGATGAGTAGAGAGGAGAGTGAAGGAAAGAAAGAGGTAAGGAGAGGTATTTATCTAATCTAAAAACAAAGATAATCAGCTGACATTAAGACATATTCGTGATCTAATGTCTTTCCTTCAAGGAAACTTTTGAAAGGTTTTCAAGAATGGAATGGAGATCGAAGATTAGTGTAGATCGCACGTCGACCGTAAAAGGACTTAAAACTGGAAAACCACCAAAGCAAATTTGGGCAGTTGAAAATAATTTTTTTGAGCAATAGAGCAATTTGTCTGTCATACCTAATATGTTATTATATTATTGTATTAATTTAAAATATAAATTATAGTGTTTCATATTAATTATTTGGTGAATAATAATCTAAATAAATAAGATAAATACCTTATCTCCCAAGGACTTTATTTGGCTTTTAATCGATGAAGACTAAATCGATATATATATATATATATATATATATATATAAACATAGTATTAACCTCATCCAACCGACCGGATATACTTCTAAAACCCTATTTTAATTGAATTTTTTTTTGAAATTATAATACTTTGTCCCTTATAAGTGACATATCAACTACAACGAAATTAATTATTCACCAAATATTGTTATTATGATGATTTTTTAACCCATGTTTCAAGATATTGCGGTCAGAATTAGATATATAGTTTTGATGAATCTACGTATTTTCAAATGCAATAAAAAACAATTTCAATCTTTAATTAATAATTTATTACACAAGGACGATGTGTGTTGATAATAGTTTTTGGGATTTGTAAAATTTGAACAAAATGAAAAATTTCCAAAATTTAGACATGCAATCTTTTTATAGTTTTTAAGAATAACGTATTAATTATCCAGTAAATGTGCGTCTATCCATTATAATTATTTACAACAAGCTGAAAACCGGTTTAGGCCAGTCACTTGCAGCTTACACGCATAAACTACAATGATGGAAATCCTGCGCTCAACTCCAAAAACACACTCAATAAATTAAAATCGGTAAAAGTAAACTAAATTTTACGAATTAAGCTCATAATAAAATAAAATCATTTTAAGAGTAACAGGGTATGCATTTTTTATTAGTGCCAATATATTTTTAACATTTAATACTAATTGACGAAGGATGAATATGTTGTGCACATAAAAAACGTTATAGATATTTTTTTCCCCCTAAGCTTCGGCCAACTTTGGTTATTAGCTATTGGTTGATTTGTTGTTGATTGGGACTTGGGTTTGTGTAGATGTGTGGAACACGTGTAAAAGGGGACATGGCATGGGTCATGCGGTCAAAAAACAAATCTTTAATACAGCTACAAGACATTCATACGTCACCGGTACTGAAATCACGCGATACGACGTCACCAGTCACGACAAGAAGGACTTAATGCCAATAATCTGGTCCTATCCGGTCTTTCGTCACACCCCTCTCCCGGTCGCCCCTGTAGTTAAAACAACTGATATTTTTACTTATTAAATAACAATGTTATTCACTTAGATCATGTCAAAATAATTCCAGTTGTATTGAGCAGCCACTAAAACGCCGCGTATTGACTATTGTATTATATAATATACCTAATAATAATATGGTCTATCTATAACGACAAAAGCAATAAAACCGCCTAGTTAGCGTACCTAGGTATAATAAACCTAAACGCATTCTGATCGAGTATAATATATTATATTGGTATGATTAGAGGTATTTTATTATGATTTTTTGGTTGGCTGAACATAGGTTAGGTACTATTGGTTTTATCATTGCCGGACGCTTAAAAATATAAAAATTATAAAAATAGTACTTTTTTAAATTAAATTAACGCCGAAAGTCGCGTTACCATATTATACTATAACCACATAGGACACAGGTTCTCTGTAGCAGTAATATTATTGGATTACAGTGGCCAAAACGCAAGGGTTGAAGCATTTAACCGTGACATCATGTCACGCTAGGTATACGAACAAACGCCGCACGACGGGTTCAATGGTGACGTTGAAAAAACTCGGTTAGGTACAACGCCCCAGGGTGTTTTCGACCTCGGACCGTATGAAATTGGTTATAGGCATAACTCGTTTTCGGTAGCTTAGCACTGATTACCATTATAAAAAGAAAAACTGACGTCATCGTGCAGACATACGAATTATTTAAATATACAATATTCATTAATCATTATCATCATACGTCGGCTGGCAGTCGTGCAAAGCTACCCAAACACATATGAGAAACTAACATTAATCCCCCCCCCCAAAAAAAAACGCACTAGAAAAAGAATAGTTGTATCGAAAAAACTGATAAACTCACCGGGTTATTAAAACCAAAATGTGCAACCCGTCAAGTACATCTAGAGGCCGGGTGACCTCTCGTGTAAACGTATAATAGTCGCCAGACTCAATCGTGTACTAAGGTTTGATATTTTGACGTTAAATTTTAAAGATATATATACTATAAAGGCCTAATTTAGCATGGTGGAGACCTAGAGTAATAAAGGGCTCAACAATTTTCCAATAAATAGGTATTATGTGACTGGGCGAAATTATATAGCTGGAACTTTAATAAATAATCTGAAAAAAGCCCATCTCCTTGTACTCAATATAATATAACGACTAGTTATAGCGACGAAAAACATATCTCTACTCAAATTAACTGAACATTTATGCCTGCTAAAAGCAAACTCAAATGTTTAGCTCTTGTACAAAATAAAAACGATAATTCTCACTTGTCAAATGTTCTAACTATGAGATTAGCCCACATGTTAGTAAATCAAAAATGGGATTTACTAACAGCAACTCATTGTGGTTGACCTTATTTTGGGCCTCCACATAGCACATACCAAAATCCGGCACTGAGGCAACTCGAAACCGGCAACTTTTAAATAAAAATATTTTTAAATCGGTCACCGAAATCACGTCATTAAGTACACATTACGGTAATTACTACTCGAGAAAAACTAGACTAAAAAACAAATTGGTCAGTCGGGGTGGTCGTGCGAACAAACGGGGCAAAATATGTAGATTGTAAAATTTTATCTTCGACGCGAAACCGAGATGGTATTTTTTTTTGTGCTGTACATACACACACACACACACATTGACACGTGTATTATTGCACCTCGTGTAAGGTAAGTAGTGTTACAAACGTATCACACCGTCAAGAAAAATGGTTTCGATGAAAATGTAAAAAAAAAAAATTGTAAAATACATTATGTGTAAAGAAAATAAAACGTAAAATTGCGCGATTCGTACACTCGTGCTCAGTTTGTTTTACAACCAGCCCGCTTGTAATTATATAATATTATTATATTGATAGAATATTGTCGGTTCCTACCTTTGAACACCATGTCTCCAGCGAAATGTGTAGTGTGAGTCGGTGCATCGACCGAGCTGTCTGCAGCCCATCGTGTCCGGCACTGAAAAACTTATAAGCGTCGCCGCCGCCGCCGTTCCCGTGTACGCGGTCCCCCCTATAGTATGCCAGAGAACGACAACGCGTCGTGTCACGGCCGCTCGTCATAGCGCCACAATGTCTCAATCCTTTTTTTCTTTTAACCCTCTCGGACACACAGATTTCCCCACCTCCGACGATTGGATACTTCTATTAATTATTATTATCATCATCGCCGTAGCCGTTTGTACACGTTTATTTTTACGCTCTACAAGTATAGTAGCATAATGCTAGTGTCAATAACAATAGTAACATTGTCTCGGCGACGTGCCCGAGCTCGCTTAAATAATTAAGGCTCACGCCCACACCCGGGGGTCAACGTTGTAATATCAAAAAAAAAAAAAAAAAGAAATAACAAATAATAATAAAAATAACCAGCGCGACCGTGTCCAATGGATATGTGTAAATGTTTTCTCTGTTCAGGTAGGTCGGTCGGTCGTGGCACTTATAAATAAAGTACATATACGGTTAACCGGCCGCCGTTATATACCTATATACATTCGTGTTCATAATAGTATAATATGTGTAATATATATATATATATATATATATTATATACATATACATCAGATAACCGTGTACATCGGTGTGTATACAGATATAATAATAATATGATCGAGGTAGCCCCGCTGCGGACGGTGCACCCCCCCGCCGGGACCGGGGCAGTAATTTTAAACGGTAGTTATCGACGCCGCCTTGAGAGTAGGTTCGGAAGCCTTTATGGTTTTTTTTTGGCTCGTTAAGGAATTTGCCACCCACACGTCCAGTACGCAACAAAGGCGCGGGCCGTATAATTTTCGGACGTCAAAATGACACACACAAAAAAAAAAGGCAATTTACGCACTTACATTCACAAACGGCGTGATCGCCGGTGGGAAAAAGAGCAAAATATATGTATATTTATTGTTGACAAGATAGAATGGGGAGCGCGCGTGATCTTTTGATCTCTTAACAAAACGAAAATGAAAAAGACATCTTCATTGCCAACTGGTCCTGTGTGTGTGTTTTGCACACCCGACCGATGCGTTAATCGAATTATTCGCCCACATCCAAAGATATATATTATATTATTTTCCGCGTTATACGCACTATATGTACACGGCGATCCAGAAGATCCAACAAGTTATTATGTTGTGTTATTTCCATTGAAGAAAACTGTCCAAATCCACGTATTATAGGCGTGTCGAAGACGAAAGGGACACCGCACACACGCTTGACGTAAAAATATTACACATCCTCATCCCTTGGGTACACAATATCATATTATATAATAACCGTGTAACCGCCAAGCACCTAATAAACGACAATATACCCAGAAACGTCCAACGTGACTAATGCATATTTATATAAAATAAATAAATAATATAAGTATCTAATAACAGTATTTTATTCTACCCCCAAACCCGAATTGATTCGTTGAGTATAACATTCAAGTTTCAATACATAGGTTGCGATATATCCTATTTAATTATTTATTCAAAAATTAAAAGTAGTATTAGACTAAATTCAATCAGAAATAATTGTTAATCGTTTTAAAATATAACTATTAACAAGTTGTACTTTAAGCAAATAATCATATTTGTACACGGTGCTGCTAGGCAACCGACTTTTTCAACATTTCAAGTCATCTGTAGTTGATAAAAAATCAACTTAGGGATTTGACATCCAAGCAATCACACCGATGATTACTCCGCTGTGAATTGATTATACTAGGTACCAGTATATTGTTAAAGTGACTTAGGATATCACACTATGTAAAATAATTAGTAAATTCTAATAACTAAATAACTAAGAGAAATCACAATAAATAACAATTTTACGCTTATTACAAATTTTTTCTTTAACACAAGTTGTGTTGTTAAAATAAATAAATTCCTATGTCAGTGTTGCTTTGTATCGGTTACCACAAAAATCTGAACAGTTCAGTATAATTAAAATTTAAATATCGAAGGCTAAACTTAAAAAAGCCTTATGAAAAAATGTATGGTTTTACAAGAAAGATTTCTTAAGTTTTTCCTTATAAATTAAGAAAGAACTTTTTATAAAATAATGAAAGGACAATTTTAGTTGCCACTTGCAAAACCAGAAACTTTCCTATTCTTCATCAGATTACACAGTCAACAAATTTTGGCCTAGAATATATTTGCAATATTTTAAACAATCGATAATAGTAGTAGTATTTAAATGGCGAAATTACTTTTCTAAAAACTACTCAAACAATTATTGTTTTGATCTTTAATTTTGATTGATACAATTAAAAAAAGTACGTCAAATAATGTAATATAAATATATCATTACCAAGAAGAATTCTAGAAGATATTGTGATTATGCACATTACATGTGCACAGTGATGCGATGGTATAAAAATTCAAAAGAAGTAACTAAAAACAATTTAATTTTCTTCGTAGTTAATAATAGGTTAAAGGTAGATTGTGTCCCACCGTACCGGTATTGAATGCCAGTGTAGAAAAGACTTACACCAGCATGCCGGCTTTTTTGCACCTATTTAACGCGGTCGTTAAAAGCTAAGCAAATAAAATAGAATAAATTATAAAAAAAAAAACTGTGATGTATGGCACGCGATTATTTTGGCTAACGTCCATACTAATGTCAATGGGCGTGTCAGACGATTGATATAAGCTCATACTAAATCATTCTCGCACATAATAATACATTACATTATTTACAATCGGTCATTAAACGGTATTTAATTTATAACATTTCCTGTTGACGATTTTCCATAAACGCGACGTTATTATATTGAATTTAAATGCTTATGCGAATTTACAAACCAAACCAAACCCAACTTAACCTGACCTAATACGCAATTGTTACAAGTCGTTTTTAATTAGTTGACAATAAGTCGTGTTGTAGACAAATTCGTTTCTAAAATTTGTTGCCACGCGGTTCTTAATAGAATTATTATAACAATTTATCGCTCTACGTGTTAGCTGAAAGAAACTCCTTGTAATTGATCGAATCAGATCATATCGCTCCTCTATAGAGTGGCCACGGGCAATGACAACCGACATTCTATATATTATTGTATCACATTATTGTTGTATCGTAAACGTGTATATGTTTGAACGAGGCTATTGTACTTGAATACTCACCCTGCTATAAATCTGAAGTCCTTGTAGAGCCTGTATCAGACCCAGATCGATCTCCGATACGGGAGTCCTTCTCTCCAGGCACGAGGAATGTCTTGCACGACGGACCGGCCTTTTACTTGTACCGCCTTACAAGACACCTGAGGTGACAACGATTATGACATACGGTCCTCCTCCTCAACACGCATTATTTATTATTAACTATATAATATTACACTTTGTTATACTGCACATTATCCGCAAATAAAACCATGGGACAATACGTTTGTGCGTGAGGTTCGTTCAAAATAAAACACCTATAATGATTTAAAAAAAAAAAAATATTATCTTTCAGCGAATATTATTATTTACTGAATTTTAAATACATCAACGCTTTGTAACGCAAAAGTTAATGCGATTTTTCAAAATAAATTAATTGACACTAATTTTTAATATCGATTGAAAATGGTTTTTTCTAAGATGTTAATGTACATAAATAAATATTAATTAATGTTAAATAAAAACAAACATTGTTGATGTTTTCTGTATAAAATATGTCATTTTCAGCTCCTCACTAGCCATTGAAATTAATGGTGTATCGATTGACATATGACTTGTCAGGTTGCCTTTGATTTGCACTACCGTCGAATACTAGGAATTATAAAATATAATTATTTAAAATAATTAGCCTTAACGACAGTAAATATGGCTGTAAGTTTATTGGATGTAATTAAAGAAAATAGATAGTACAATAAGTATGTCAGTCCAATATTCATGGCATATTTTAGATGTAAGCCGTAATATGAATGCAATATTTTTAAGTAAAAAATGCCAAAACCATCGTTAAAATGTTACCACATTACATTATATTATAGATAGGTCAGGGTTCTATTAGATTGTGTAAACAAAATTGTTAGGTACTTTACCTTTGATTTTATAATAAGTAAAATACACCTACAGATAAGCCATTCCATTGTTAAGTATGACAGCGACTAGTGTGCATTTTAGCGCAGAAATGTATACAGGAAGGAGATGTACTCACATAATATACTCGTATCTCCATTAACGTTTTTTTCTTAAATACGCGTTTACAATTATTGTAACTATATTGATAGTCCTAGGTGTATAGCACAAAATCAAATCAATGGTTGAGATGTATTCAAATTGGAAATCAATGTATCAAAAAAAAAAAAAATGTTTTAATGAAGAATAAATTCGTAAAACTATAAAAACGCGATGCGATTAAATGATTAATATTATAGTAATTATTATTTAATTTGTCAAGTGGTTTCATGTGTAGACCACTTTTTAAATATCAAATGTTTTACAAGAAAAAAACCCAGTTTATCGACATTCAAGCTCTAGGTAGTTGACGTGTCTTTATAGTTTTATACTGATAGTATCAAATGTTCGTTGAATTATTTTAACCACGGTCACCCGTTCAACTAGTATCTATAAATATACCTACTCGGAAAACTCATAGGTATTGCGCGCAGCTACAATACCCAACGAGATCATAAGTGAACTAATACAAAGTTGTACCTATTATCTTAGCGGGGTAATAATAGGTCCTAAGATATACGACTTAAAGGCGTTGGGAAATTCGAGATACTCATTTTGTATAACGTTTTGTTTGTGGTACTCGAGATTCACAGTTGTTCAATGTTTATTAAATGTTTTAAGATTTTTTTTAATGAGAAGACTGCAGTTGTTAACAAAAAAAAAAAAGGTGATACTTATTAGATTTTGTTTCAAACTCAAAATATATTTATCAAATTGCCTATTATAACATTAGTCACTTTATACTGATCTAATGAAACAAGTTTCGAATAGTTTGTATACAATTATAAACATTTAAGTAACGTTAATGTGTTATAACGAAAAGCGTTGTGGAATGGTATACATTTATTTAAGAGAACTACTATATC